AAAATCAAAGAATGGTGGCTGTCTTGGTTGCCTGAACAGGTGCCAAATTCTAATATTTTCTGTAAATGCATTAATTTCAATGTTCACTATGTTAATTTTTAAATGAATTATACCAGAGACTTGGGTGACTTCTTAATTATTTTCTGGAGAAAATATTCACTGAAGTGACCCTTTCTTAAAATGGAAAAAGGTTGGAATAAATGTTGGAGTTTTGGGAACTCATCTACCATCAAATCAGAATAATGYTATCAAACAAGGAACCTGTATGTGRTTATAGTTACAGGGAGGGATGGAAATGACACTCATGTACAATGCCAACAAAAGCAATWAAAAAGGACTGATCCTTATTCTGCAGTTAGTCTGCCAAAGGGCGAGGAGAAACCTATCTGTTTAGTTATATCAAATTAATTTACCCACAGGAATTTCCTGTTGAGTTACTGCATCAGGCAGAATAATTTCTTTAGCTTGTTATTCTTGAAAAATTTTTGTTATGTGCTATCCAAACTCCTTCCATTTATCGTTCTGATAAAAGCCCTCAGCTGTCAGGTAGTGGGCTGTCTGGTACTTACCGACTTACTTATTTCAGTGCATAAATACTTAYGAGAAAAAAAGAACTGCATGCAGACAGAATACTGTAATATTCCCTGAAGAAAGCTTTTAATCAACAGCTTCAAAAGACTGCTCTGTTAATGAGCAAGTGAAATGTTATAAATTCAGCCAACAGCCTCTGTGTTTAATTTAGACAGTCTTCCTTGCAGCTTAAGAGTACAAAAGACCAGTGTCAGTGGCCTGTAGGCCTTTGCAGTTACTGCCCAGTGGTTAACCATGGGAAAGAAAAGCYATTGCAATTTAATTAGCTGGAGAATAACTTCTAGGTAACACTGATAAAAATAATCAGCTAGATGCCAGTGAACAGCTGGCATGAAAATCAGACAACATAATGGCTGTAAAGTCTGATTTGTATTCTCAAAACAGCTTTATTCACAAAAAAACCTCCAACCCACTCCTTTACAAAATAATGTATTGTTTCTTGAGCCCATGTTTTTAGGCTCGTTTGAATTCTGCTTGCTTGGCTGAGATCAAGCCAATTCCTGGCAGCTGGATTTCAGCATATTCATTAAAGGCAATACTGTATCATTGCTTTAAAAAGATAGTAGATTGTAAATAAAAAGTGAACACAATGACTCTACAAAAAGCTAACACAGCATTAAGCAGTAGTTTAGCCAAAGGCAATTTCAGTTGTTAATGTTTACTGTGTGCTGGTTTCAGCAATTTTGAAGGTCTTTTTCCTGAGCAGTGCTGTTCTAATGCTTAGTTCCTGTGCCCTCTTGTTCTGCGGTTGGATCAGCCTGTAACTGAGGATAGTTCTTCCCAGCTACTTCTATAGTAAACTGTTCATTACAGTGTGTCTTCTGATAGGAACGTTTTCTTTATTTCAGAAGAAATACTTTACATATACAATTGAAAGAAAAACCTTTCAAGATCATGCTTTCTTTCCTCATATCAAGATTGTCATCCTAGTTCAGAGGTATAAAAGTGTTTCACAGTGTTCTGCTGATGTGGTTATACATACAACAGGTATGCATATACAGATTTCTCATTGATATCACTGCTACCACATGGAATTGTTTTACAAAGTAGAAATATTACTCTATAAGCAACAAGCTYGATCTATGAGTGCTGGTACCAGCACCAGCAGAATTTCTTTTATATGGGGTAGTGTAGTCTCTCCCATGTGTTAGCTGATACTGCAGCATTTCCTCAACTGGTGTTTCCTGGAACAGCCTTTTCTTTGAGATGCCTGTGTCATTTGGTTGTGCCTTTTCTTTGARATGCCTGTGTCATTTGGTTRTGCCTTTTCTTTGAGATGCCTKTGTCATTTGATATTGTAGTRAACATGGAAACCTTATTTCCTAAGAAAAACAGCTGTAATTGTGTAATTCAGTCTGTGTATTACTTCTGGTTCCAGTGGAGTTCCTGGCAAGTTTTAAGCTCAAAAACCAAAAGTGCCTTGGTTCTTTTCCAGAAACCTCTTTAGGAGGGATGCTAATCTAAAATAGCTACTTAGTGTGAAATACATCCTTAAGGTGAAATCTGGAATCTGGATTTGAAGGAACCAGATTTTCATCCTGAGACTCTCACCTATATAATCCACTCATTTCTCAAGGCTCTGAGGCATCTTGAAATTGGCAGGCAACTATTTATGTGTCATGCTGATGACAGGGACATAATTTATATAAAAACTTCTGTCTTTTAGTCCTGGCCCTTCTATTCTATTGGTTCTTGAGTATAGACACATAAGAACTATGAAGAAAAGTCTAATTTTTGCCATCAGGAAGCTGCACATAATACTGTTTACTTAGACCAGAGGGATATTGTGAGCATTGCTTGTTATAATAGACTATTTTTAAATAATCTAAGTGTAAAAAATAAAATTAACTATTAAAACCATTTAAAAAGTAGTGTTTTATAAAAATATTGTGGTGCATACTTACAGGTTAGAGCACCAGTATTTGTTTTATTTTATTGCATTTTTTAGCTGGTTAATAAGGTTTCTTAATTTAAAGTTACATCTGTCTAATGTCCTTTGCTGGATGCCAAAATTTAGATTGAATTTACATATGAGACACTCCTATTTTGTTAAGTAGAAGACATATTATGGGGATAATCAGTTTATCTTAAGCTGTAATTCTATGTCTAGCAAGGATTCAAATTTCTAGGATGAAGGATGGTGAATGGGTTAATGAAATTCGGTAAAACATCTTTGAGATAAATCCCGGCATAATGAGATCAGTTACATCTAGCTGTAAAATGGAGCAGAAGCTTAATTTTAATTTTTAGTTGCACAGTTTGGTGCTTTGATTTTTTCTTTTACAACTTGACAGAGCTCTATCTGAAATTTAAAAAGGCTGGAACTGGATGGATCTTTTGAATATGCATAAACTAAATGGGAAAAAAAAAAAAAAAAAAAGAAAAAAAAAAGAACTAGCTAGTTTCATGTAAGGTTAAGTTTTCTATTCCATGGAAACTAATTTGACTCCAGTGTAAATTCTTTGGTGAAAGGATGTGCATGCTTAGCAGCTACAAGATCCTCCCTACATAGGCTATGTGGGCACTAAAACAGTACAGGCAGCAAATTAACAGTAACAATTTCAGTAAGAGATCTACAGTTCCATATRTGGTCAAGGCATAATTGTCAAATTAGGAAGCAGGTTTCTTGGCATTTAGGTTTATATTTTAACCTTTGTGTTGACAGCCTCACTTTCCTTTTTAATTGTATGCAGTATATCGTGCTTTGGGGTTTTACTATTTTTATGCAATTACAGTCCTTATGACAGCAACTGGACAAGCCCAGCTGCAGGATTTAAGCTGCTGTTTAAGCACAGGGCTTATGAAGTGGCAGTGCAAATATTTTAGGGCAGTCAGTATGATTTTATTCTGAACTGCCAAGGGAGTAAGAACTTGACTACACACACAAAACATGCCCCCAAAGCTATATATTTAAAATACTGTGGATTTTTCTGAAACTGGTCCATGTTTTGGAGTCTGAGAAGATAAATCACAGTGAAGAGCCTTCTCACTTGAGCATCTGAACCAGCTCAGGAACTACCAACAAACTTCASTGTCCTTCGAGAGTCACAGTAGCTTTTGTCACCTAAAATCTTCGTGTGACTGATACAGTTTCGGGGGAAGGGAGCAACACTTTTGACAATCCACGTGAATTATCTCGGAGTAACAGGACCTTGGCAGTTGCAGGAGAGAGTTCAACCTGAGCAGAAGCATCCTCAGGTCCCTCCATTTTCAACATTTTCCATCTGATCATGTGCCAAGAGCTGAGCTTTCTCCCTGTTTTTAGAGCAGGGTAAGATGGCAAAGGTTTGTAGTATCTGTACAGAGGCAGAGGTGTCAGAAGTACTGTGCTACAGTCTGAGGCAGAGGGGAGTTCAGGGCTAGAAACAGCACTTTCCCCAGCATAGCTAGTACAGATTTTTTTTTTTTTTTTTCAAGTAACTTTTTGTTTCTTTGTATTGTGTCACTTAACAGTGCGGGACAAACAGTAGAATTTCACCCTGGTTTTTCTTCATTTTTGAGATGCTTAATTAGCCAAATGAAAAGTTCCTAAAAAATGTAAAAATTTCAACTAGTAAGTCAAAACCGAACACTGCTTCTTCAATGGCTGTACCTATTTATCTACAGCCAGACACTCCAAACGTGCTCAGCAACAATTTTCGGCACTGAAATGAAGCTGCTTCCACTGGTACACTTCCAGAATTTTCCCAGYCCACATTTGGCTCTTGTCAAGTAGCATTCCGGCAAGCCTTTCCCAGCCCTTGGCAGCGGGAAAGGGACCATTCCCAGCAGTCTGGAGTTCTGTTTCGGGAGCTGAGGTAATTCCTCAGCGCTGGCACAGGCTCGGCGGAGCGCTGAATTTACTGGAGTGAATGAAGCCTTACTATCCATAACGAGTGTTTCAGCTCCGTTGCTATGCACTTCTCAGAACAATCCTTCAGGTTATTCGAGCCTCAGGATTTCCCGAGGGTCTGTCCAGGGGGGTCTGTCCCGCAGGAAGCGCAGCGCCCTCAGCCAGCCCTGCCGAAGGGGCCCGGAGCGGCTGAAGGAGCCGCAGCGAGCAGTGATGTGCCCAGGGCAGCTCCGGGAGCAGCCGAGACGCAGCGCTTTGTGTTTACTGAGCCTGGCCATAATGGAATATCGGGAGGAAAATGTCTTTTCTGAACTGCGCTGCTATGGGGCAGTGAGGAGAGCAGACCATTAAAACCTAGCCCCAAGCCTGACAGAGCTCAAGGAGCGTTTGGACAACGCTCTCAGATACTCGGTGGGATTGCTGGGCTTGTCCCGAGCAGGGCCAGCAGCTGAATGATACTTGGGGGTYCCTTCCAACCCGGGATATTCCCCCAATCTCACCTCCCCCTAGGACGTTGCAATGGAGCTTCCGCTGCCCCACCGCACCGCCCGGCGGGGGCGGATGGAACTGCCCCCCCTGCGYGCCCCGCTCCGCCCCGCGCACGACGGCGTCAAGATGGCGGCGGCTGTAGCACGCTCAGCCGTCCGACGGCTTCTCCTGCCCTGGTCTGCTCCCCTGGTGCGAGCCCCCGGCGCGGCAGAGCGGGTGAGGCGGCGGGGAAGGGAGCAGAGGGAGGTGCGGGGAGCGCGGGTACCGCGGCGGCTCCGGGCGCTGATRCTCGGGCTGGCGCTGAGGGGACGCGGAGTGCTGGAGGCCGTGGGGCGCGGTGCACGCTGGGCSTTGTAGTCGCGGCAGTGGCGCGGTGCACAGCGGGAGGTGTAGTAAGTGATTAGTTTAGGCTGGTAAGGACCTTTCTGTGTGGCAGCTGGTCCGGGGCTCCTCAGTGTGAGGAGGATGTTAGTGAACTAGAGATGTTCAGCAGAGATAAACTTGGCTGGGACATGTGCCCTGTGAGGAGAGGCTGAGGGTCTGAACCTCGTCCAGGCTGGAGAAGACATGGCTTCAGTTAGACCTGTGAGAGGAGCTGTGAGGAGTACCTGTGCCAACACCTATTAGCAGGTTGTCAGGAAGGTAAAACCAGGCCTGTCACAGTGGGGATTGATAGCAGAATTAGACACAATGGGTGTAAGTTGAAACGAGAGGGAAAACATGGATATGTGCCAGTTAAGAAATGGAGCAGGCTGCCCACAGAGCTGTGCAGTTTCTCATCRTCTTGGGAGATTGTCAAAATTCRGATACAAAAGTCCTGAGCAAAATGRTCTGACCWAGTTTATCCTGCTTGGAGCAGGAAGTTGGACTAGAGACCTCCAGCAGTCCCTTCAAACTTGAATTGTGCTATGATTCTGAAAGAAGTGAGTTTTGAGAGATCTAACCTATTCCACAGGGAGAGTGAGTAAGAGCTGGATTTTGTATTTTTATGTTTAGGGCAGTTATATGGGGAGAGAAATCTTTGTTTTATGAAACATTTAAATCACAGTTTCTGAAATAGCTGTTTGTTTGAAGTATGCATTTGGGATACATATTTGCATTTCTTGATACTGAAAAACTGCAGTAAACTTTTCTTCTTTTCTACCCCGCTCTGATTTTATGTGTTTTAACTGCCACATGATTGTTTAAAATGGGCAATTTCAGCTGCTCTGATCAGTGGGTGATGGAATTGAAATCCTGGCACAGGGCCTTGGGCTATGTGTCACTTCACTTTATAAAGCAGGTACCCAGGAGAATTAGAGATGGTAAAGGTCCTGCAGGCTCTTGCTGGCAGAAGCGGGAAGCCAGTGTGGCTGGCTGATGTTAGCTGCTCTGTCAGACTGGAGGGTAGCAGATGCATCTCCTCACTTGCAGTTGCCTTCAGGGTTTGTTTCGGATTCAGGTTACTCCTTTCTTGATCTGAAGCAGTGGTGAATAGTGGTCCCGCATTCTTTTTTCTTATAAATGCATGCTTTAAGAAAGATCAACAAACTTAATGTTTAAGTTCAGCAATACGTTTTTTAGAAAAGCATCCTTGGATATGACTAAACAATCTAAGCATGAATGATTATTTTCCTTTCCAGTGTGTTCATGTTGGAACAGGGAGGCTCAGAGCTTCCAAAGCAGCAACAGAAGTAMTCTTAAATGTCCCTGAAACTAGGGTGAGTCCTTTGGAAAATGGCTTGCAAGTAGCTTCTGAAGACTCTGGACTCTCAACATGCACAGTAAGTGACTTACAAAAGGAAGATTTTTCTTTTATCTTTATGTGTTCTTTTCCTTTTGGAACTAAATTGTATTTGCATTTCAATATTTATTAATAACTGTTCTTAGAACTTAAGCTAGGACATAGAAGTCTTAAAGCTTTTGTAGGTTTGTAATTAGATTTTTTGTAAAGATCAAAATTTTTTTTCTTGAAAACCTGCTCTGTTTAAAGAAAGTGCCATAGCAAAGCTGTTAGCTGGTAAAATTACTGTTTTTTTTCTTCAATGAGGTTGGACTGTGGATTGATGCTGGAAGCAGGTACGAAAATGAGAAGAACAATGGAACTGCTCACTTCCTTGAGCATATGGCTTTCAAGGTGAGTGTGCATATTGATGTAGAAGTTTACAATGGATTTCTAAGTTATTTATATTAAAAGATCAACCACAAAAACTTTTTCAGAATTGTGTAAACAAATTTTCCAAATTGAAATGAGAAAAATAACGTGGATAACTAAGGCTTTGGTTTCCTTTAGAAAATTAAGCTAAAGTCCTAGTTCTGTGTAACTGTTACACAACTATAGATTACACAGATCTAGTTTCTAACTCACTTTTACCTTCTTATAATAGTCTTAGAACTAAGACACACAGTCACYCTTTTGCCAGCTTTTTGTTTTTATTTGGGAACACAGGAGGATTTATATCTGACTTTGAAGCTTGGAGTGATTAGTATGTCAGTTTTATTTCCAGAAGACATTTTCTTTCTCTTGATCATGACTTTTCCAGACAAGAAATAGTAATGATGAGTAGATTAATTGCAGGGTCAAATGTGATTTTCTTATTATTCTATTTCAGGGAACAAAAAAGAGATCTCAGTTAGACCTTGAACTAGAGATTGAGAACATGGGAGCTCATCTGAATGCGTACACATCCAGGGAACAAACTGTCTATTATGCAAAGGCTTTTTCAAAAGATTTACCAAGAGGTAATTGGTCTCATTCATTAGGAAAGCTTCAAAGAACTATATGCTTATCCAGTGAGGTGACACAGAATGATACTTTTGCAATGTTACAGTCCCTTCCTTGCTGGGTGAAAAGTCCTTTCTTAAACTTCACAAGAACTTGGAAAGGAGCTGGCAGGGAAGCTGATATTTGAAACATTTTTCTATTCAGAGTCCCAAAATAAGATACTTTTGTGACTTCTCCCTTCCTGCAAAGTAAGTGTTTTGACCACTTGCTAGTCTTATTAGCACATGGTCTTTGGGGTGGGCTTCACTTTTGGAACCAGATTTTTCTGGTAGTCTGAAAATGCTCTTTTCATTTCCATCTGTATTTGTAATTAGCTGTGGAAATTCTTGCTGACATAATTCAGAACAGTACCCTGGGAGAGGCAGAGATTGAGCGTGAGCGAGGAGTTATACTTCGAGAGATGCAAGAGGTTGAAACCAATTTGCAAGAAGTTGTCTTTGATTACCTTCATGCCACAGCCTATCAGAACACAGCCCTAGGACGGACTATTTTAGGACCCACTGAAAATATCAAGTATGTCCAACATTATGTCTGACTTTAATGGTGTGGAAACTTTTATATATTAAAAAAGACTCATCTGAAAATGTAAGGAACAGTGTCAGATTTCATTTTTACACTTGAAGGTGGCTGAAATGGCACTGAATATAACTACAAGAAGCAGTGCTGTATTGCCTTAGTTCCCCTGTATGCAGGCATCAAAGGGTATGTGAACTTCAGATGTCCTCTGCATGACTTTGGGTTTTTTTGTCATATTTTTCTCCTGTTTCTTGAAAGTTCATCCAACACAAAATTGGAAATACCTCTTTTTCCTGTGGATCACAAGTTAGGCATTATTGTAAAAACACGGTATTTGCATTGCTTTTTCCATTTAGACCAGTACAGATCAGGGGACTGCTAAATGTGCTGCTTTCAAAGGAAAGAACGTTAGAGCATCCTGTCTCCACCTGACTGAGTTGGAATTCTTACTCCTCAGGAAGCTAGAAGAGCTTTGAAAAGCAAAATGTATCCAGTTCCTATTTTCTTTTTAGGAAGTCACCCTTATTTTAACTTTCTGCCTCTGCTCTGTGCATTGGCAGAACTTTTAATTATTTTGATATTGTATTGTTCGATATATTTCTCTGTTTCTACTCTAGTAAACTTTACTGACACAATAGTGCTGTCTCCTTTCCTGTTTCTAGATCCATAAATCGTAATGACTTGGTGGAGTACATAACAACACATTACAAAGGACCAAGAATGGTCTTGGCTGCTGCTGGAGGTTAGTATGGGATATTCACCCTGCCTTGAAACCATGGCCTGAGTCCATGGGAACAACATGATGAATTACCATTGTTTAGTAGGCCCTGTTTATTGTTCACCCTGTGTGTTTTGTGCTTTCATACCCTTGGAGCTTTTGTTCCCTTTTGCTCTCAGTAATGTTCCAGAAACCTTAAATCAGGAACAAGAAGTGAATTAGAGGCCAGAGTCATTCTTCTATGTGGGCAGGAAAAAAGGSTCCTAGAAGGTGTTCAGTGTGAACAGGGCAATAGTAAGGAATGCAGAGAGGAAGAAGTAACATTGAGGGTTGAAACTGAGCCAAGAGTTTAATTTGATGTAGTTTTAATGGAAGGCTGTTAAAGAGAACCAGGGAGGGGGAATCATTATAATCATGCTCTGTATTAAGGGAAAGTGTGAAGAATTGGGAAGGGGGGTATTAAAGCAGGGGCACAATAAATTACTGCTTGGTTGAGTCTTTAAACTGTGCAGCAATTTAAATTAACTGTTTACAGAGTAACATCACAAAGCATGTGAAATACCTTTGTTCAGGGGTCTCTCATGATGAACTACTTGACCTGGCAAAGTGCCATTTTGGTAACTTGCCATCTGCTCCAGAAGGAGGACTGCCACCCCTGCCACCTTGTAGCTTCACAGGTAGTGAGGTAAGCTGCTGGCTTTTTGAGCTGGCCCTTGCATCCCCTGACATGTGCTCTCTGCTGAGGAGAGGGCTGCTCTGCCACAGACTCAGCACATGGAAAGATTTCTTGCCCCCAGTGAGGGCAATGGAGTAGCTGCTTTCCAAAGCAGTACTTCCCATCCTTTCTTGGACCAGCCTCGCTGCCACCACTTTTTATACTTCATCACTTCCTGGAGGAATACCTTCCTTATGCCTGCTCCTACTKTCCATTTATCCTCTTGACTATGGTGTTGGAGCATTTCCACTTGTTGAGTATCACTCATGTAAACGATATGGCAGAAAACTGAGGCAWCCATGTTCTATTCCCATCTCCATTCATAGAGATTTTGCATAGTCATCAGATTTCCTTGCTGCTCATAGTCATAAAATGACTTGTATTGCCCTCTCTGTRTGTTGGCAAAGTGATCTGAAATTGCCCCAGGGATGACCAGTTAAGGCTGATGTTCAATTAACTTCATATACTTTAATTGTAGTGCATGCTTTGTAATCCAGCTGTAATGGAAAAGTCTGTTTCCTGTTATTTAACTTTCCCTATACCTGAGCATGTACAGGCTGTACCAGAACTGCTCTCCTGTGTTCCACAGATTCGGATAAGGGATGACAAGATGCCCCTGGCACACCTGGCAATAGCTGTTGAAGCAGCTGGCTGGTCAGACCCAGATACAATCCCACTCATGGTAGCCAATACTCTGATAGGGAACTGGGATCGTTCCTTTGGAGGAGGAGTGGTGAGTGAACCTGCAAGCACTGTCCTGCTCTTAGTGAGGTTGGTGGGACCTCTCTGACTTGGGTACTGCCAGGACACAAAAGGGGATCCASCTGTGAGTCTAAAAATTTTGTTACTCAGTATCTAGGAGAATCTTAGGAAGTGGTTCTAAGCCACCAAAATAAAGGTGTCTTGAGGTTTGCCAGCCTTCATGGAAAGTAGGATGTTTTATACCTGCATGTCATCAGAACCTGTGGGTATCAGTAACTGTCTGTCCCTTTCCTGAACCTAACTATCTTCATGATTTTGGCTCAAACTTGGGCTGTTATTTTGAAATGTTATTATTGATATTACGTTATAAATGATACTACATGGAAGGAAAGAAACTGTTGAAATGAAGAGTTCATAACTAACCTTGTAGCTACTATTTTATGTTCTGTTATCATTGAAATGAGAATGGGAAATCATGGAGGTTACTAGAAAGCTTTCAAAAAAACTTCATAAAATAGTATCTTTTTCTTTTGCCTCAGCAGAATTTGTCCAGTAAACTTGCTCAGATTGCCTGCCATGGTAACYTGTGTCACAGTTTCCAGTCCTTCAACACCTGCTACACTGACACAGGGCTGTGGGGACTCTACATGGTCTGTGAGCCATCCACCATTCAGGACATGGTGCACTTTGTTCAGAGAGAATGGTAAGATAAGAACTGTTTCTCTGGAAATGGGGATACAATTTAAGAAGTATTTAAGAAAATATTTTTCTCTGCTTTCTCTGCTTCTCAGGGTTTGCCTGGGAAAAACAAATGCATCAAATTCTAAACTTTGGCACCCAATGCCAAGTCCCAGCACCYAGTTTTTGGCATCCTTACTTGGAGTGAATAGCTTAAGATGTATGTTTTATTCCTTGTATAGAGAACCACAGCAGGGATTTTTTTTTGTGACTGGCAAATTATGGGAGTTATGAAACTGTCAAACCTTTTAGGATACTACTCACTCAGTTTACAGTGCCTGTGARCTGCAAGTGCCACCACTGAAAGAATAAATATTTGTGGATGAGAATAATGAATGTGCAATTACCAGACAATATTGGTAGTTACTCAGTYTGCAGTTGCTGTCCCATAGTTGTAYCAGGTGCTGGTGTTAGAGAGATCTAGTGAGTACAGAGGGAAATGAAAGATGAGCTGTTACRTATGGAATTTTGAAACCTATGATTCTAGACAATATTCATTCATCTAAGGCTTAAATCTGTATTGAGGGATGTCCATAGGTGCAACTGTAAAGCTTGAACTTCACATGCAATTAAAAACAGATGTATGTTACTTAAGAGCACTCATGTAAAGTGGGTGAAGTTGAAACAAGTCTTGAAAATGAGAAGYTTTCCTGAACCACCTAAGTCACTTCTCATGTACCATTATTCCGTGAGATGTCTGTTAAGTCATGGAGAAAAAGGTTATTACTTTGACTGTTTGTGGCAGCTTAGCACCAGGGAAGATACAAACAATCTCTGGGAGAAGAATTTAGTGTTAAGATATTTAATGCATTCCCCTGTCCTCAAAGTGTTCTGTAGGCAGTGTGGCAAATCATTATCTCACCAAGAGAGGAGCCAGGAAGTAATGAATTGCCTTCTGGCTAATTACCTCTAATCTGCTTGGCTCCTGCTTTTTTAGCAACATCCATTCTCAAGATAACAAGTACAGACTACACTTGTCTCAAAATATTCATTTAATTAAATGAAATACAGCTCTTCTAAGAGGAAAAGCTTGCTCTTGGGTATATTGGTACACTTCCAACACCCCTACTCTTAGGCTGCTGCTTTGTATCCATGGCTTATTTTCCAAGCTGTCTTGCCAGCTTTGTCTATAGAAAAGTACCTTGTAGGTGCAGTAGTGCCCGTGCACCTCTTTATCACAAGCAATCTCAWGTGCCAAACTACCATTATTTAATGTCTTTGAATCTAAATATTTTTCAGGATAAGACTTTGCACAAGTGTTACAGAAAATGAAGTAGCTCGAGCRAAAAATCTTCTAAAGACAAATATGCTGCTACAACTTGATGGTGAGACTTAYGAGAACTTTTTATTCTTTGTGCAACTGTGAGCTGATAACTGAAGCATTTTTTCCCTATTTTAGGGTCCACACCAATCTGTGAAGACATTGGAAGACAAATGCTGTGTTAYAAGCGCCGAATCCCAATTCCAGAACTTGAGGCAAGAATTGAAGTAAGTGGCACTGATGTTGAAACTTTTAAAAGGCCATTGAGAAAATTACTTGCTACAGAAAGTAACAAAGTAGAAGTTGTGTTTCTTGTTCAGCCAAGAAACAATTCCAGCTGAGAAAACTGTCAGATGTTTTGTTGCCTGCTCCCCTGGATTATACAAAATTAACATCAGAAATGATGTATGATATATGTAACATCAGAATGTATGAATGATGTATGTATGTAACATCAGAAATGATATATGCCTCTTTTACCCCTTTTAGGCTATTGATGCCCAGACCATTAGAGAAGTCTGCACAAAATACATCTATGATAAGCATCCTGCAGTTGCTGCCGTGGGTATGTGGTATAAATTTCCCCATCCTCCCATAACCCTTCCAGACCACTTGCTACGAGTTGAACATGTGTCATGGCCAACTTTCTTTAACTTCCAGGTCCAATTGAACAACTTCCAGAGTATAGCAAAATCTGCAGTGGCATGTACTGGCTTCGTGAGTAGTGAACTGCAAGAACTTTGAGCATATTTTASTTTTAAAAGAACAGAAAAACAACCAAAACCACCCAGCAAACCAACTATACCCCTATTTAAAAGTTTGGAGTTGCTTTTGAGAAGATTAAAGCTCAAGAACCWGCCCCTCGTGTGTCTGTATAATGAAGAAAGAATGGAAACATGTACAATATTTGCATTTTTATTATAAAACAAAGATTGTCAGTAAGAGTCATTTCTTGACTTTAGTAGCATTCATTACTTGTTCTTGAGCAGCTTTCTTTGCCTTGACCATTTCAACGAGTTCCTGAAAGTAGGGGGGGCAAAAAAGAAACTTAACTAAACATGAGACTTCGGAACAGTGCTATTGTTTTAAATACTACATCTRTTCACTGTGAAACACTAGTTCTCAACATAATGAGAAACATATGTAGTTGAATACTGTAATTTCTCTTCAAAACAAATCCATTGATGGAAGGTCAATGCTCATCTACCTCCCCTCTATCAGGCACTTTACCTACAGGAGCCTAGGGATAGGACTTCACCATCTGCAAAAGCTTGCTCTCAAATTATAAGACAAATTTCATGAGACAGACTTTCCTTCCCAGCTTCCAGAGCCACTACTTTCATTGAAGAAYATTTAGTCCTTACTGCTCTTTTTTATTTTGGTAACTCAACTCCAAAAGTTTTCCTTAAGGYTCTAATCAGTTTGCTTGTGTCAGATACTGTCTCTTGTAGGCAACGTAACAGGAAAAGCAAAGGATTCTCTCAGGACCTGGCCTAGTGACAATCCTAGGAGAAGGTGAGGGACCTTACCTTATATCGCTTCATGCAATCTTTTTTTGACCGGCCTGGAACAGCTGCTGCTATTTTTTCCCATCTTTCAGGAGTATTTACTGGATAAGTCTTCAATGCTTGTTCTAAAAGTTTCTGTTCTTCTGTAGTCCAAGGGGATGAATCTAAAGGTGATCCTGTTTTTAAATGCAAAAATGACAGCAAGAAAAAATATTTAAGAAAAGAGTCTATATATAAACCCTATTATAGTTGATATAAAATCCATGCAGTTTGGGGGTGTATTGTGTGKACCAGAAACCCTCAAATCTTGCAGCAGAGCCTGGATCACTTACTTGCTATGTAAGTTTGTAAGCAAACCTTGAGTAAGTAAGTTCTGGGTTAATTTCTTCCTAAGAAACACAGGGGAGACATGCACAATAAGGGCTCCCTTTTCACCTTTACCTTCAAACCGTTCAGAGGGGGCAGCACTGTCCATCTGAGGCACCACACCGTGTTCTTTTTTAAATTTGTCAAATGCTTTCTTGTTTATGTCATCTTTTTGATGAGGGTCTATGAGCAACAGACATTAAAGAGAATAATTACTGCAAGAATAATAAAGCCAGATGTAATAACAATAATAAAAACATGTATTAGATTTGCTTACATTAATCACAAAATCAAAAAACCTGCTTCCCTTTAAAACAATGAAAAAAAAGAATCCAATAAACTTCTTGCAGAGTGTCAGACTCTCCAACCCTTATCCTGCTTTATAGTACTCAGAGGAATACTTGTTCCATATCACCTTAAACCTGCATCTGCAACTTCAGCAAAATCTGGAGGGATTATTCTCTCAAGTAAGGGCTGTGGCACAAAACTCACATATTGCCCAGGGCATGACCATGTCAGAGGGGTAGGAACATTGGGAAAATCCAAGTGCTCCTTGTGCCACCATGTGTTCGTAATGCAGAAACTTCTTGAACACTTCATTTTTTTTTTTCCTTTGGTAGTAAAATGTCTAATTTCCTTGAAACCTTATTCCAGAGCTCTCTTGGCTTCATTTTGTGTTTTCATTTTTGAAGAGGAGATAAGCCACGTTAATTTAGGTGTCTTACTCCAGTGTTGAGTTCCATTAATTCTTTTGAAGTATCTAGAGCTTCATCAGTTCCATTTATTTTAGATGCTTTCCTTTGTAGGGAGCATTCTGAGAGGCCCATTTGTCTCTCTCTGAGCCCTGGCATTTCATGTGTCCTACACATCAGAACACCAAGCTATAATAAGAGAGTTCCTGAGAGTTGCTYGTGAGGTGGTGACTTACAAAAGAGCCATTAGGATGAAAACACTGAATCACATAAATTCCCTCTAAATTGTCCATCTGCACTACATTTCTTTTGGAGATATACAGAGGATTTTCTCAAGAAACACAGCTCCATTCACAGAAAAGGCATCTCTACAGAAGCATGCAGACCATCTTCTTACAAAAATAAGGTAATATAGATACCAAGCTTTTGGAGACTCTTTGCCTTATTGATGACATCTTTTGCTGTTCGTTTTATTCCAGTAGTAGAGTGCAAGTTCATGTAATTGGCAATAACTTCCCACCTAAAGGAAGAACAGAAAGGGTAAACCAGTGTATTACATAATACCTTATCTTCGTACAAGCTCTGGTCAAGCTCCTGTACACATTTTTATCAACTCCTGAATAATTTCAAACATATTTCAATATGTATAAAATTTCAGAGCAGCTATTCTGGAAAGCTTTCAGTCACTAACTGTAGAATTCGGTCAACGTGGGGGAAGTTCTTGGCTACCAATAAGAAAAAAAGGATGGGGTAAGATAGGCAAGTGCAAACCTTTAAACCTCAAAATTATGCTTAGCTGCTGCTTTCCAGAATTCCCTAAACCGCAGATATTAAACACTGCAGGCTATTGCAGGGCTGAGAAATTAGTAACCCTGTGTCCACTGCCCCCCRGAGGAATGCTTAAGCATCAGGTAAACGGGCTTAAACAGAAGAAAGCTGGAACAGCCCTAGCCCCAAGATTATTCCTAGTGCATTCTTAGAAAACAGAAGGCAATATGTGCCCCTGATCAGACAGCAGGATTTTGTGCCTTGAGCATTGACTGCTGAGCTGCAGAAACAGGCACTGATACCATCTCCATGGAGTATGGCGCTTTTTTTTTAAGTAAGTTTAGAAGGAAACTTGAAATCTGTGACTCCTAACTGGATGAAGGCCTTTCATTCCTGGGAAAGAGCACGATTTAAGGCATGCTCCTGTTTTTCATGCTTATCAGGAAGCTGACTGTCACTCCTGCTTTCTGCAAACCCCAGCCTTTCCATTTTCCCTTAGCTCTCCCTTGAAGAAAGCTGCTGCACTTAATTCCTATCTAGTTATTTTCCTCTTACCATGTAGAGGAGAAACCAGACTCACATTAATTGTGGAGCTCCTGGAAGTAGCTTACACACATGTATTCCTACCCAGCTTCACCCCAGTCACAGGTGTGATTTTCTCTGTGTTAAGGACTGGTGCCTACCCTGGAGTAAGCCCTGTGCAAACAGGTACCTCAGCACCATCTCGACARTGGACCAAGGCCCTGATTTGGGCAGAAAGAAGATACAGGGCTAGAGCTAACTCCAGTGACACACTGAGCATGGCRCCAAGGAAAAACAAACCACTGGCTGCTTGAGAGTCAAGGAAAARGAGGATGTTTAGGAAGTCCTTATACTGACAAAGTACTTGGGATGATCTGAAAATACATTTTATTATGCTTGTTACATAATTAAAAAATTGTTAGTAGGGCTTTTAGTACCAAACCTGAGAAGTACCTTGAGTTAGTCCCTGCTGGAAAGAGGTTCACAGCTTTAATTAACAACTGTAAATCATCTTCTGGCCAATTCTTGCTTCCTCCTCCACCACCAGTGGTTGACTTTTCTGAACTCTTTGCTGCTTGGCGCATACGAGCTTCTGCCTCTTCTTTCTCTCGCCTTATTTGTTCATTTATTTCTTCTATCTGAAGATTGTAAATAAGCATTATTTATGTACTTAGAGAATTACTGTTTAATTTTATAGTGACACAACCCCCACTCTCTGGAATTGCTTAGAACCCTGGATTTTGCTTGATTTCTGTTCTGTGTAATATATATAAGGAAACAGAGGAGCTTATCTATTCCAGTATTATTTCCCTTTATTCCATCTATATATTTGGCCATCCCATATTAGGAGTGTTAATAGCAGAAATTCATCACAAGTTCACTAGGAAATTAAATGAACACCCCCACAATTAAAACAAAACTTTTCAACCCAGTGTGAATATTTAGGCTAACACTTGACCTAGMGGGATAGATCCACAAAAGAATTAAGAGCCTCATGTAACCAGTGAGGGCATCCTCACTGCTTATATATGTTGAATATACCCATTCTCAAATCTTCCAGCCTAACTGCTATTTAAGCCTGATTGTGTCAGTACAACCATAGTAACAGAGAACTTTTAAGTTAGAATTAACAGCAGATTTTAGTTACTAAGTGTGTACTCAGGGTTAGATGGCCATRTATAGCTTTTCAGCAAGCTACAAGCTATTTTGGTTAACCCACTGCACATCTYTGTGACCTGTAATCACATCATGAGACTGTGGTGTGACATACCTTTAACCATCTACTTCTGAGTGAGCCCAGTCCAGTCTTGGCACTAGTAAAAGCTGTGCACTTACGCCTGTTGGCAGGATGCCCAAAATAGAAGAAACCTATTTCATAAAATCTTCCTGCCAAAAGGAAAGTTACCCAATAGATAATTTTAAGTGCAATGGTTTTTAACAGAAAGGGAACTGCTCTGCATTTGGAACACCTTCCTGGAGAATGGAATATTGAATTCAGTCCCTGTAGAGAAAGAGGCATTTCAGTCTTAAATTGTCTGATGAGTAAACCTGACCCTAGTAGGGCAGCAGATCATATTCCCCACCATGGAAGAAAGTTCACAGCTGTGAATCCAYAGTGGATGAGAAAGCACCTTAAGTTCAACTTTATTAGTTCAAATGGCTTTTTCCTCAATGGGAAACATAGGCAGATCCTTGCTGAATTTTGTGAATTTTGATTCCACGTGTCTTGCATTTCCCATTCCTTGGTATCCAACCTAYCAGCCCTTTYAGTACCTACAGCSTGCAGCACTTAAGTCCTTTTGTGGWTCTATCCCCAAGTCACAGATATTAGACTAGGATTTATTTTGCATAACAGAAWAGGTTTAAGACTGCCCTCCTTCCCTCAATGTATCTGCTACACATTGCTGGGCAAAATGAAATTCCTCTACTGTTTCTGTATACTGTACAAGAGGTAGGTTTTGTGTTCTTTACAAATAAAAGTGCATATTCTTTTCTTGCCTGGCCCTGTTAATTTGACCAGCCATGAACTGCACATGTAAAATGAGGCAGAGATCACACTGCCCGAGGACTCTGAAAATCAAGTCTTCATGTTTAACAAGCAAGATTCCAGCAGCTATGTTATACCTTACTTCAGTCAGGTTGATTTCACAAATTATTCTGTTATTTTGATTYGACACTCAGCATAATTACCTGTTTTACTACAGCCGCCTTTCCTCCTTCCCTTGTTGTGGATGTAAGTGCTTCATTCAAGCATTGCAGACTAAAAATAAATTATTAAGTTACAACRGAGAGCTAGTAGAAAGATGGGTATCAAAATGAGCAGAAAGCAGCAGCAGGAAGGCTTACCTTGCTAGCTCAAGACGATCACAAAGCTTTTCCACCTCCTCCATCATTTTAACACAATCTGCCTCATTATCAGAAAAGTAATTCCAGTTCTGGAAGCAGAAATACACGTTCTACAAAGTTCTTGAACTTTATTGTCCAATTCCTTCAGACAAAGGCTTAACACACAGCATTCTTCAGCCACTGCTGTGTTTGGACCTATTTGGTCAGCTTTACTCGTAACTCAAAACCATGTAAGTATGTGTTTTAGTATTTTGTTTTTTAGCAAACCCACTTTCCATACCCATCTCCAGCCCYAAGAACAAGCAAACATGTGATATATTCTGTTCTAAGCAAATAGTAATTTCTGATATAACCAGTATTTCATTGTAATAATAATTAAGTACCTTGCATGTTGTTCTGAGTTTTTGCCTTTCTTTCTTGATGGCTTTCTTCTGTATTTCTTTTTCCTTTTTTGCTACTAATGCTTGCTGCCTAACTTCTTCTTCCTCCTTTTCTTTTGCTAACCGTGCTGCTTCTAATTCTGCTTGTCTTTGCTGCAATCAAAAGGAAAAAAAAATCYAAGTAAAAAAATCCTCAAAGTCAGTTACAGGGTCATTCAATCATCCAACATCAAAATGTGTTGTTTCTCGTTTGGGTGGAGTTTTGTTTGTACATTTGGGGCTTTTAAAATGCATCAATACTTTAATGTTTGGTTTTCCAAGAATTCTRAGGGAGGTGATGAAATATATACCATTTGGCATTAAGTCAAGTACTCAGTGTGAGGATCCCTACAATATAAATCCTGACTTCCTCTACAACAAAGCTATAGAATTGTATGCAATTTACTATGCCTGCCTCAGGTATATAAGCTTGGAAAAATGCAGTGGCCCAATATTTCTCCTGCATTATTATTGATGTAACTATCTGCAGGGGTCCAACAATGTCTTTTAAGTTACTTCTTTGCACCTTACAGTTCTCCTTCATTCCTGTACTTTCAGAGCCATCTTTTCCAAACTGTTCATACTAATCAGATATGTTGTGTTACCT